ACACCCATGGCCGTACACACCTTTAAGGTGGCCATACACCTCCCTCATGCAATCCTTAGAGGTCCTAACACTTAGTGCAAGTAGTCCCAAGTTCTTAGAGTGGTTCTTCATCACATCTAGTGGTGAAATACCATCATTTGACTCCTTTATGTGTCATTACTTGTTGATTAGGATCAAATCGTGTTCAAGGCTTCACTTGAACATCCCGTATTCCGTATCGATCCTTCATTCAAATCACCCCAGGTGAGTTCATACCCCTACATTTTCCGTGTTTTTAATGTTTTCAGGGGGGAATACAAGCCAAATTCAAAGTATTTTATTAAGTTTTAAACTTATTAATGCAGTCCAACGATTTCCACGTTTAATAACATATTCGGATATTTTATCTCTTTTTGTAATATGTTGAGCATAAGGGAAACTACTATTTTGGAAATCTAACTTCATAGCTTTCAGAAAGGTTTTTATAAAGCAGCTCTATATCAACTCTAATAAACTATAATGGGTATAGTTTGGGATAACCCTCTAGGCAGTCTCTACCTAATCAGATTTCATAAATGAATATATATAAACTATGGCAGATTTAGTTTATGTTATATGTTTTCTCAGAAGTATAAAGTACATTTATTCAAGGATAATTACTGTTTTATACTGATTTCTCGCTAGTAAACTAGATTATACAGAATTGTGAGGCGCTACTTCAATACTGTACCCTTACGTGTATAGTGATAAATCCTTTTAGTATAACCAGAGTCTCCTGGAGGGAGAGCGTAAGATTTGTGAATAGATCTATTCGGGACTGACAATCCCACACCAGAACTGCTAGCTACAGTTAGGCGGGCACACCTGTGGTGTACAAATGTCATTTAGCTTAACGCCTGAAGAACGTTATAAAGGTCTCTTGGTCATATCGAGTATGGTTATATGACTCACAAAATAAGTATAAACTAATTTTGTTTACGGACTCTATTCTTCGCTTGTTTTATTTTAAGTAATAAAACTACTTTTATATATACTGATAGAAATCAGGGATCTCTAAACTTGCATCTCTACCTCTAGGATGGATATCTTGTTTTAGAGAAAATATAGGATTTTCCCGGATTAACACCGGCTTTTCTAAAACTGATGGTTCACTACTCTACCAACGGACATTCATTCCATGACTCCTTGAATTATACATGTCATGTATGAATCTGGAAGACATGGAAGGAATGGGCTTTCAAACATGTTTTTCATAAGAAAATATAGGATTTTCTTGAGGAACACTTTTCAAAAGAATCAAAGAACATTTTTCCATCAAAACTAAATGCTTATGAACTCACCAGCTTTATGCTGATATTATTTCAAAACTGCTTGTATTCTCAGGGAATTAGTAGACAGGTACTTCCGGGAGCTCGGAGAAGTCGAAGTGTTAGAGTCGCGTCTTTCTATTTTGCTTTTGATGTGAACAAAACTATGTATTAAAACAATGTAAACCTTTTTCATATATGTATTCAATGTCTGGTTGTGTTTACTACGCTTGCTATGATACAATTGTTGTGATACTACGCATGACGTCCTCCACCCCGGAACGATTCCACCATTATGGTTTCGGGGTGTGACATTCATGGACACTGGTGCCACCTCCCACCTTCTCTTGGATGCAGGTATTCTCAAGTTTATTTATGATAAAAATAGTAATTGTTCTTCATCTATGTTAGTTGGTGACGGATCTTTTATTCCTGTAACTAACATGGGTGATACCACTCTTCCTCTTTCCAATCATTATCGTACTTTGCACCTTAAAAATGTTTTAATTACCCCTTCCATCATTAAAAATTTAATTTATGTTCGTCGTTTTGTTCGTGAAAATAATTGTTCCATTGAATTTGACAAGTTTGGATTTTTTTGTGAATGAATTCCGCACCAAACAAACTCTACTTCGATGTGATAGCTCTGGTGATCTCTACCCCGTTACTTCTCCAACTACTCAAGCTTTCATCTCCATCACTCCCGCTATATGGCATCAACGTCTTGGTCACCCGGGTCATCATATTTTCAAACATTTAGTTAATGGCCGTCTTATTTCTTGTTCTTCAAGCAAAGACTCTACTTTATGTCATGCATGTCAAATGGGAAAACATGTTAAATTGCCATTTAGTTTGTCTATTTTTGTCTCTCAGTTTCCTTTTGAATTAATTCATTCTGATGTTTGGACATCTCTTATTGAAAGTTTGAGTGGAATTAAATACTATGTCATATTTTGGATGATTTATCTCATTATGTGTGGGTTTATCCCATTCGTTCCAAATATGATGGTTTTGACAAATTCATGCATTTTCGGTCATTTGTCAATAAACAATTTGAAGCTGACATTAAAACGTTTCAGTGTGATAATGGAGGTGAGTATGACAACAATAAATTTCATCTTTTTTTTTGCCCAACATGGCATTAAAATGTGTTCTTCATGCCCCTACACTCTTGGAAATGACACGCCTTTTCATAAAATTTACAACAAAAATCCTACTTATGATCACCTTCGTGTCTTTGGTTGTCTTTGTTTTCCTCACATCAACGCTCCTCACAAACTCTCCCCGCGATCCACCCCATGCATTTTTCTCGGTTACCCTAATAACCATAAAGGCTATCGTTGCCTTAATCTTGACACTAATCAAATCATCATATCCCGCCATGTTGTTTTTGACGAAACCGTGTTCTCTTTTTGGATCCATGACACTAAATAAAGCCCCATCTTACTCCTTTCTTGACACCTATGATATACCTCATCCTCTTTCTTCTACTCCGGCTCCTAATCCCATGTTCATGGATGGTGCTCCTCACGAGCCCTCCTCGGATCCTACACCTACCACTCTTTCCTTGGACACTTCCACTACCTCAAACTCTCATCCCCTCAGCTCATCTCACCCATTTTCACCTTCGTTGAGTCCTCAGTTCTCAAATACCACTACTTCCTCTATGCCTTTTAATTCCCCTATCTCTACTTGATCACCTCAGTTGTCCAATCTCCCCTCTAGTGTCACCCAGCCTCAACATCTGATGGTTACTCGTGCCAAACAAGGAATTTTTAAACCCATTCGTAAACTCAATCTTCATGTTGACACCTCCTCTTCTGTCCCTAAAAATTATTTACAAGCTTTTAAAGATCCTAACTGGCTTAATGCAAAGACTGAAGAATATACTGCTCTTATCTATAACAAAACTTGGGTACTTATTCCGAGACCACATGCTGCTAATGTTATTAACTGTATTGGCTGTTTAAAAAGAAATTTAATGCAGATGGATCTTTATCTCGATACAAAGATCGTCTTGTTGCTAATGGGCGAAGTTAGCGACCCGGTATTGATTGTGATCAGACTTTTAGCCCCGTTGTTAAGCCCGCCACTATACGCACTGTTCTTACCATTGCTGTCACTCACAAGTGGCCTATTATACAATTTGATGTGAAGAATGCATTTCTTCATGGGAACTTACAGGAAACTATATACATGCAACAACCACCGGGATTTCGAGATCCTACTCGACCAAATTTTGTGTGTCTTCTTCAGAGATCTCTTTATGGTCTCAAGCAGGCTCCTAGGGCATGGTTTCAGAGGTTTTCCATGTTCATTTAATGCATTGGTTTTGTTCATAGCAGATGTGACACATCTTTGTTTATCTACAAACACGACTCTCATACGACATACTTATTATTGTATGTGGATGCTATTGTTCTTACCGGTTCATCCCCTGAGTTACTGACCCACATCATCTCTTTATTGAGCTTAGAGTTCTCTATGACTGATCTTGGTGATCTTCACTATTTTCTGGGGGTTCAACTACTCGCTTGGCCGATGGGTTATTCTTGTCTCAACAAAAATATGCCACTGAGATTCTTGATCGAGCTGCTATGTCTAACTGCAAACCCGCTTCTACTCCTGCTGATTTATCTACCAAACTTGATGGATCTTGCCCACCTGTTGCTGATCCCACATTATATCGTAGTTTAGTTGGTGCTTTACAGTATCTCACATTCACTCGGCCTGACATCACTTATGTTGTGCAACAGATTTGTCTATACATGCATGACCCTCGGGAGCCTCACTTCACTGCTCTCAAACGCATTATGCGTTATGTTCGAGGTACTACTGCTCATGGGCTTCAGTTATATTCTTCACCCAGTCGTTCTCTCGTGGCATACTCCAATGCTGACTGGGGTGGGTGTCCAGTGACTCGTCGCTCTACTTCTGGTTATTGTGTCTTTTTAGGTCACAACCTTCTCTCGTGGTCCTCAAAATGTCAGAACACCACATCTAGATCAAGTGCTGAAGCCGAATACATGGGAGTTGCAAATGCGGTGGTTGAAACATGTTGGATTCGCAATTTACTTCTTGAACTTCATTACATGCCTGACAAAGCTACCATCGTCTATTGCGATAACATTAATGTTGTTTACATGTCCTCCAATCCAGTTCATCATCAACGCACTAAACATATCGAGATTGATCTTCATTTTGTTCGAGATAAAGTTGCCACCGGTCATGTTCGTGTTCTTCATGTTTCATCTTCGTCCCAGTATGCAGATATTTTTACAAAGAGTTTGCCCTATTCTTTATTTCTTGATTTCAGATCCAGCTTGAACGTTCATGAATCATCCCCGTTCAATCTGCGGGGGGCTGTTAGCATAGTATATTCTGTATATGTAATTATATTGTTTTGTGTTCGGCCCATGTGTTTGGCCCGTGTATTATTATCTTTGTATCTTGTATATATATCGAGGGTAATTAATGAAAAGGTTTTTTACGGGAAAATAAAGTAAAATTCATACACGAGGTCTTTTAACGATAGCAACCAAAAGGATCAACTCTGATGCATTTAAAAACCATGAGGACCACCGGCATCAAAAATCTAAAATTTAGACTAAAACTGAAGGATAATACCAATCGCAATTCGTAGGGACCATAACTGTAATTTACTCTGATTTATATAATCTAAGCCAAAGAGGCCAAAATATAAGCATTACAGGTCCCAATTCGGTATATATGGAGGTCTTACTGAAGTATGTACAAGTTCCAATCAATAGTATACAAGTCAATACAACATCATTAGTCTGCATTTGGGGTTTTCAGTAAGGAGTTAATTCAAACAAATATAACACACACATTCCCTCTCTCTCTCTCTCTCTCTCTCTCATACACACTTATGTTTGACAAGCCATTTTCAGGAAAAACCTAGCTTTACCATTTCTCTTCTCTCTTTCTCTGTAACCCACCTCCATTTTTGTCTCAAGCTCCAACTTTTTTCTTCAGAAAAATGATTACAGCGATATGGGTTTCTCTTGGGGTTTTATCAAACAAGATTTCTTTTAGCTAAAGCTCACCCAGATCTTCAAAATCGAAATGTGTTTGTTTCCTCCTTTAAAAATCAACACTTTCTTGAACTCCCTCTGAAAACCTCAAAGAAAGATACCTTTTTTACGCAATCTTCTACCAAAAATCTGTAAAACCCTTCGTTCATTTCTTCTAAAAACCATTCCTTCAATTTTTTTTTCGGGGGTTTATATTTATAATGGGGTGCGTTGCTACAAAGTTAGAAGAAGAAGAGGAAGTGGTGTCTATTTGTAGAGAGAGAAAGCATTTCTTGAAGTTAGCCGTAGAGAAAAGGTACGCGCTTGCAGAAGCTCATTTTAGGTACTGTCAATCAGTTTATGGCGTTTCAGCAGCCATACGACTTTTTGTTGCCAGACATTCTTCATCTTCTTCGCCATTTCTCATCACTTTTCCACCACCATCTCCTCCTAAAGAAAACAAGGTTGTTTCAAACCCTTTGTTTCTTCAACAAAACCCTCCTGAAGAACCCATCAAAAAGAATAAAGATGCCACTGCATGTGCGTCTGGTTCATGTTCTTGCTCCTCCTCTTCAACGTCTTCAGAAGAAGACGAAGAGAGAGAAGATAAGTTTAAAAGAGAGAGGGAGGTAGAGAGAGAAAGAGAACAAGTAGAGAGTTGTGGGTATTTTTATATGGGAATGCAAATGCCGATGCATATGCATATGCCTCCTCCAGTTTCAAATATTCCATCGATGCCATCACCACAGAGGGAGTTTGGGTGGGATTTCTTTGACCCTTTTGTGACGATGAGGCCAGAGGTCATCAGTGCGTATAATCGTAATTCTGATGATGATTTGAGGGTAGTTAGGGAAGAAGAAGGGATACCAGAGCTTGAAGAAGAAGTTGAGAGAGTGGATGAAGTGAAAAACAAGGTGGTGAGGAGTGAAGAAAAGAAAGAGGAAAGTTGTGGGGGTGAAGTTCTAGGGTCCACAGTGGACTGTGCTAACGTGAGCCAGGGTGAAGCTCAGAAGGGTTTAACAGTCATTGATACACCAGAAAGTGGAAGAGAGTTGTTGGAAGCATTGAAAGATATTGAAGACTATTTTATACGGATTTATGATTCTGGAAAAGGTGTATCCAAGATGTTGGAATCTAACAGGATCCAATCACAATCTGGGTTAGAGGAAATAAAAGGTAGGGTCTTTTTCGTCTTTTTACATCATAAACCCACACCTGGTTGGTTTTCAATCAAATTACTTCTTCATAACTTCACTTGTCTTCTTATGCGAGTAGATCTTTCCTTCAGATTTGCCATTTTTCTCCTAAAAAAATGCCACTTCTTTAATCAAGATTTTCAAAAGAACATTAATTTATCTTATTTTGACATGATTTAAGAGAGGATTAAATTCTAGTTTGAGAAGTGCTTGGTTTGACTATCAAAGTCAAATGTTAAAAATGTGAGGGCTTTTTAGTCATTTTACACATGCAATCTTCCAATCAAATATATGGAGTTTAGTTTTTGATCTACTTCATTTTTGGCTCATGTGTTAAAATTTTTAACAGTGACAAAGCTTGTGGTTTATACTTTATAGTTTATACCATTATCTCATCTGTACAAAGGTCAAACATTTAGTCAACTGAACTTTTATTAAGTTTTAAAAATAACAATTAAATATCTTATTTTTCTGATCATATAACTGATCATAAAAGTACCCTACAATTAGAAAAGCCTTTACTGAGTTCTTATTTGAGTGGTCTTTGGTTTGACCATCTAAAGTCAATGTTGAATTTTCTTTTATGATTGTTTTTTTGCATGTTTCATTGGACATGCTTCTGTTCTTTACCAATTTTGTTATTCCTTTATTATGGGTTTAAAAACCAAAAAGGGTACTTAATTATTTCAGGTTTCATTTGTTTTAAACTACTTTTTGCATTTAATTTTCATGGGACCTTGTTTGTGAGGCTGGGGATAATTAAGAAAAATGAACACAAAAAAAAGTGGACCCTTTAAAAAGTACTCCTAAGCCCCATGAGAGTTGCAGTAGTTGCTTATGTGTGAATTACTTATTTGCCCATTGTCACCCCTACATATAAGTCATGCAGTTGATGAGGTCATTCCTTTTTTCTTTACTAAAAGAAGAGTCTATTCTACATAAATATTACCTTTCACATGTTTAATGATTATCTTATCCTATTCTTGTTTCTTGAATTACCCCTTTCTTTTCAAGAATATCTGTATATTTTTGACTTTCTAGAGTCAAACTTAGGAATTCACAAATTAAAATGTGGTGCGAACTTCACAAATCTACTTTTCCTGTAGCATCATTTAATAATTGTAATAATTATTGTCATATAATTATGCAGAAAACTCAACTAAACTCATTCAAGCAATCGCACACAGATCAACATCCTATCGATTAACAACATGTAAGAGTCTTGTAGCATCAAATTCTAAAACGGCTTCTACATGGACAGAATTCAATAATGATCTCTTTGATGATGGAGGGGGAATGAATTCAGGAAGCCATACATTAACATTAGGAAGACTTTATGCTTGGGAGAAGAAGCTATATGAAGAAGTCAAGGTAATTCCTATCATCTTTGTGTGATTGACTTTTCTGGTCAAACTGCATAACGTTTTAATATCAAAATCGATTTGAGTTGTTCAAATTACAAGAAAACATTTGTTACCCATTGAACGATCTAACATATAATATAAATAGAGAAAATATTGGTGGTGAGATCTTTCAATATCCGAGTCAATATATAATTTGAAAAACTGTATGTTTGACCTCTATAAAAACAGGGCTAGTTTTTTCTGAAGGGTATTTTAGACATTTAGTTAATAGTCGTTGAAACATTTGCATAATCCATAGGCGGGAGACAACACTCGGAAATTATACGAGAGAAAATGCAGCCAATTGAGGAATCAAGATGTGAAGGGGGATGAGGGAGTTTCAATAGACAAAACACGAGCTGCAGTTAAAGATTTGTATAGCAGGATTTTGGTTGCAATTCGAAGTGCTGAATCAATCTCTGAAAGAATCGAGAAACTCAGAGATGAAGAATTGCAGCCTCAAATCATTGAACTCTTACACGGGTAACTACTTAATAGTTAATACAAGTAAATTTCCACATAATCATGCATTTGATACTTGTACTAGACGCAATAAAGATGGTACACTGTTAAAGAAATGATCTTGTTAATACCCATGCTGTATTTTATGCTCTGCATCAGTACAATTTGATGTCTAATGCATCGGACAATTGTACTATATGCAATAAAACTTGTACACCCTTAAAGAAACGAGCTTTTCAATCCATTTAAGAAAGTAAAAAACAATCTTTTTGATAACCTGTTTCATATTTGATGCAGCATGATGAACATGTGGAAGGTTATGTTGGAATCACATGAAATTCAAAACAAGATCATGAATGAAGTCAAACTATTCACTTGTCCAACGTATGGAAAATTCTCAAACAACACTCATCGTCTTGCAACCCTACAGCTGGAGGCTGAGCTTCAAAACTGGAGGACATGCTTCAGAGAATATCTCACTGCACAAAAACAATACGTTGGAGCTCTTTATAGTTGGCTTTCAAAGTTCATAGTACCTGAAATAGAATTCTACTCAAAAAGCCGAAACACATCTCAACCTTTTCAAACAATAAATGGGCCTCGATTGCTAATGATTTGCCAAGATTGGTTTAATTTGATGGATAAATTGCCTGATAAATCGGTTTACTTTGCCATGAAAAGCTTCTCAAAAGATTTACACTCTTTGTGGACGCAACAAGGAAAGGAACAAGACCAGAAGAGGAAAATCGATAGTTTGTCAAAAGAACTCGATCGCAAGATTCTTGCTTTTCAGAAGACTGAAAATCGGGTTTTTGAGCCGAATCTTGAACTATGTGAGATTGGGGTTGATCATCGGGCAGATTATTTGAAAGAAAGGAAGGATTTTTTAGATGGGTTTAGGGCAAAAGTGGAATTAGAGAGAGGAAAACATCAAAGTTGTATGCAAGAAACTCAGAGGATCACATTGAATGGATTCCAAACGGGATTTTGTCGGGTTTTTGAGGCGTCAATTGAGTTCTCAAAAGGGTCGATAAAGATGTATAATGATCTTGTTGGCTCTTCTCAGGAAGAAGATGAGAGTAGGAGATGACAGGTTTTTTTATTTATTGATTAATGGTTTGTTTAGTGGTGATTGTTGTACATTAGATTGTGATCGAAGCTGCTTGCTGAGATAACATTGGTTTAGACTTTAGATGATTAGTTGGATTTGTTTAAGGTGATCAAGAAGTGGTTTTTTCTTCTTGATTTGATTAGGGTTTGGTGTTTTTGCTCACAATTTTGTTGGTAAGAACTGAAATTTCCTAATTTCTTGCAATCTTTATTGGTAATAAGTTCCAATAAGTTGTAGAGAAAGTTGGAGATTCAAGTGGGCAATTGGTTTGTAAGTAGTAGTCTCTGTTTTTTTAATGGAACAGGGGTTCTATTGTTTATTTGTTGAGTAGCTTTCTGCAGTTTATTGTTCATTTGAAGTTTGATGTTAATCTGCTAAAAAGTTCATATTTGTTGTACTTGAAAATCAAAAAGGAAGATTTTGGTCAAGAAGAATTAAGAAAATTGAAAATTGAGAGAAGATACCCGAAGAGTTTAAAAAATATATTTTCCTAACACTAAAAAGAGTTTGAAGGATGCTTTTGTATGTGATGATGTTTCTATTTTAAAATGATGATCCATATGAGAGAAGCATTAATATACTAACACCCATCTTTTCATATTAGTTGAAATAATATCATGTCTTATAACGGTGAGGTTCATGAAACACAGGTATTTACCTAACATAGTCAAATTCACTATTGTTCAAACAACTTCCACTAGAGTTTGTTTCGAGCTAATCTCGATCATCTATGTTCTTCCAAAACAACTATCCAACATTTGCACATAATTATGGAACGTGGAACACATGCCAAAAAGGTGATATGTGAGACAACATTGTCTCATGAATACATGGTTTAAGATACAAAATAGTATTTCAGAAGCATTAGTACACTTTCTAACATTCAAACGATGCAAGTGATATGCATGCTTTCAACCACTATCAAAACATAAGGAACCGATCAACACCAGTTTGGACCCACCAAGTGGACTAAAGTTACTTGGGTACTTTTAAGCAACATAACAATCTTTGAATAAGGTGATAACCCATGAATACCAACGATGCTTTAATACTCATCAATTGTACAAACAATTTGCATTAACGCGTTTTATTTACTAATAGATAACATGTTTCCATAATCTATTTCATAATTATTCAACTTTAATTTAATCATGCAAGCAGGGCGGTCCAAGAAGTTTTGAGGCCCGGGACAAAAACAAAAAGTGAGGCCCTTAAAACATCATAAAATATAATGAAAATTCATGTATGAAATAATGACTCAGAAATACTTACTAATCTTCATATGGTAACCATTCATTCTTAGCGATATTTCCTTTTTATAAATAACATTATGGTTTTAATTGGTTATATTCTCATTCATGTGAGTGTTATTTCTATTCTCATTAGTGTTATAGATCAACCTTTTTAAGTTTTCTTCCAATAAGTTGCTAGGTAACTTTTTATTATTCTAGTTATAATAATAATTTATATTAAACAATGCCAATTAAAAAACTAGTATTAAAAGGAAAACAATATGATATCGTGTCTTCTATAGTTGATTTTTCTCCATGGAAATTTGAAATACACCTGCGATACTACTTCTTTATTTCTCTTTCGATTTTGCTGCTAATAAAAACCCATTACATAATTTAAGTATAATAGAAGTTAAAGGAAAAAGATAAAACAAAAAACATACATAAAACTTACAAATCAACAGTCTCACAAAAACTTGAAGACTGATCCATGCTAGACAAAATAAATGTAGTTTTTGAAGTAGTTATAAAAATATATAAAATAATAACCCAAAACATGAATTCTAAGAGTAAGAATAAAGATCAAATCACAGAGCTTGAACTCTAGAAGTTTAAAGAAGTAATGTTAACCACAAAAGAACGCACAAGAAAACTTATAAGTTACATTTTAGCTTGCAAGAACACATGTCTGAAAGATTTCACAGCACAAGTCTGCAAGAATCAAGAATCAGATGTTTTGCTTGCAAGTGCACAAGGCTTATAGATTTCAGAGTAACAAGATGTCACATTTTCGATTTCTCACTTACCCATTTATGCCTTAATTAACCTCATTTATACTTCAACAATCTTGAAAACTGCTATGAAACTGTGTATTACAAGGAGACATCAACATACATTTACTTGCTTCTTGAAAAATGAAGCGTCATCTCCTAGAAAGGCAAACAAAATATCTATGTTAAGTAAAATATGAAGAAATTTGAATGTTGCAAAATTCGAACTCAAGACCTCAAAAATGAGAAGTCCAACGCCTCAACCATCTGAACTACAAAAAACTTTTGTTATATATTGCATATTATATTTTATATCATCTAAGACTATATATATATATATATATATATATATATATATATATATATATATATATATATAGAAGAAGATTAGATAGGAACATAATATGCAAATATTTAAATGTTGTATAGATAAGGTTTATCTCTTGGATTTATCTTTGTATGTAACCTGCGTGTGTGTGTGTGTGTATATATATATATATATATATATATATATATATATAGATATATATATATAGAAGAAGATTAGATAGGAACATAATATGCAAATATTTAATGTTGTATAGATAAGGTTTATCTCTTGGATTTATCTTTGTATGTAACCTGCGTGTGTGTGTGTGTGTATATATATATATATATATATATAGATATATATTATATATATATATATATATATATATATATATATATATATATATATATATATATATCTGATAGGCCTACGGGTCTTTTGTGTGGCAAATACATTTGTTAATTTGGTATCAGAGCTAATCCTAGGGCTCTCCTTCCCATCTCCTCTTTCATCTTCGGCTGCTGGTAACCCCTTTCCAGTCTCGCCATGTCTACTTCTGTTTCAAACATCAACTCCTCTAAGATCGCCACAGCAGCTATCACATGTTAGCTAAATCGATCGAATTTTCTGCTTTGGAAAGCACAAGTGGTGCACATTCTTAAGGGTGTTCAGCTATTCGGTTATCTCGATGGCTCAATTAAATCTCCCCCTGCCAAAATAACCACAGGGGTTGGCGCTGAAGCACGGGAAACAGACAATCCCGAGTATAACTCGTGGATGGTGCAAGATCAAGCAATTCTTGGTGGTCGTCTGTCTTCTATGACAGAAGAAGTGCTGGCTCAACTTACCCGATGCACAGAAACTTCAAGTCAATTATGGACTGCTCTTCACACTATGTTTTCAGCACAACATAGAGGTAACTCTATACAAATCCGCACTCAACTATCAACAACCAGGAAAGGAGATCTGAGTGCAACTGAATATTATCAAAAAATGACAACACTTGCTGACACGATGGCGAACATTGGCCATCCCATGACTGATGAGGAGGTTATTGGCTATATACTAGCCGGACTAGGACCAGGTCACGGTGATCTTTTCACTGCCATCACAGTCCTCAGTGATCAGCATAAGGTAACCTTACCTAAGTTTTACTCCTATCTAATAGCTCATGAAGCACAGGCCACTGCCACCAACAGCATGACTGAGTTCACCTCTTCAGCAAATAGCGTGACTCACCAAGGTTCAAATCAACTACGACGAAACTCAAATAACCCCAACAATAACCAGCGGTCTAATTATCGTGGGGCAGGATCTAAGAGTGTAACACCGTAATTTTTCAAACAAAATTTTCATTTTAAAATCGCATACTTTTCGTAACATATTGTATATAAATCTTGTTTATTCAAATTACAAAACACAACTCCATTAATAAGCCAGGATCCTCAAAACGTGACTCTTTCTCTGGTGTGTACAATCAAGCCGGTGCCTTCCCGCGATCCTCTGAGGTACCTGAAACACATAACAAATAACACGGTAAGCACGAAGCTTAGTGAGTTCCCCAAAATACCACATATAACACATATTAGTCACTCGAGGCTATAACTCTGTGGGCCCACTGGCCCTAACTCTGTGGACCCTCTGGTCCTAACTCTGTGGACCCTCTGGTCCGAACTCTGTAAACTCTGGAATACACACAGCATAAACCACATAGAAATAATGCAGTGCAACACATCACATACATAGCATACAAGATACTCTGTCACATAATTCTACTTACCACTCAAGGTAAAGTATAGTGAGAAGACTCACCTGACCAGCAGCAAGTAAAGACCCCGCTCCCGGATCTCGAATTAGCCTCCACCTAACACAAGGGATGAATATCTCTAAGTGATACTCTCATCACAATTCTAATGACCGAAGGCTATTCTTCCTCTCTTTAACTCTTTGAAGTGGATAAAAGACCATTTTACCCCTCCATGGTCTCTACTACTTATGTTGATCAAAGCCCCAAAGTCAACAGAAGTCAAACTCGAGTCAACAGTCCACGTTTGACCCGACTCGCCGAGTGCACCCTTGCGACTCGTCGAGTCCACTTACTTTCCTCAGAAATCTCGTGACAGTCCAGCTCAGCTCGTCGAGTTGGCCCCCAACTCGTCGAGCTATCGCATGCTCAAACTCATCGGGACAAACCCTCACTGACTCGTCGAGTCAACTCATGGACTCGACGAGTCCCCTCGGTCTGATTCCTCATTCAGACGTCCAAAGTCAGATCTCTCATTCCAAACCCTAGATCTAGCCCTTTAAGACACCAGAGACACATAAAGTCTCGACCTTTGCGTTCATGCATGGCATAAATGCCTCAAAATGCCAAAACAAGCCCTTCTTAAGGTGTTAAGCACAACAACCCTCATTTGGATGAATAAAGTTGGGAGCTTTGGGCTCTAGGGACCTCACAAGGTCCAGATCTGAGGACTAGGCTTCTAGCTAATCCATTTTAATCAAATTCCCAAACCAAAGGTGGTAAAAGCCCTAGAACTCCAAACACATGAGATCTAACCAAAATAATGAGAAAGGTGCAGACTTTTACCTTCCTTAGAAGCTCTGGACGATCTATCACTGGATCCAACTTTCCCCCTCTTGATCCTTGCTTGATCTCCTTCTCTTCTTCTCAAATGATGCACTAAAAATCCCAAGATAGCTTCTCTCTCACTTTCTAGCTCAAATGACCTTTAGGGTTTGCTTCCAGGGAAAGGGTGGCCGCAAATGAGGCTATAAGTGCCTTTAAATAGGTCCCAAACCCCGGAAATTAGGGTTTCTCTAATCAGCGCCT